TGTATTAAATAAACAGGTTGCCGCGTTTCAACTTTCTCGGGCGAGTGTTTGTCGCCCGAAGAATACCCTCGTTTCCGTTTCGCTACGCGCACTTATTTTTAATGTCCCCGGCTCTCGACTAGTCCTCTCAGTATGCACTCGGCTTAATACGACTATACAACGGCGGACGAAACGTTAAGTCTCCTGTTTGCGCGATTGTCCTAACAATATTCGTGGCGCGGACGCGATACGGCCGGGTATTATTTGCGCGGTACAATGGAAGCGTCGCGCGTGTAACGATATAAGCATGAATTACGTCCATCGGCTGCTGCCGCCGCCCGATACACTGGCTTTTCGCCACCCTAAAGCAGGGTCCACATCCGCGCCACGGTAACTCCGTCGCGCACACTGTCTGTCGGGGTAGAACAATGATATATATACAGGCCATCCGATTTTCAAACTATTGTCGCAACACATAGCGCGGCCTTGATTCAACGGATCGCGATGATCCGCGGTCTTCGTCATCCAGGATCTTGGTTATTCAGGATCTCGACTGTTTCGAATCTCATGGAAAGAGTTAGAGCGTATTTTACAACTCTCTTTAATTTCAGAAGAAAACGTATCTGTTTAACCTGTTGACTGTGGAATTTAGTTTGGAAAATCTCTCGTTTTGCGCCCAATAAAATCAGAAAATGAAGTGTGTACTCGTCAAACGCAGGACGAGTGCACCTAAAGTATATTTTCATGAAAAACTAAAGTAACATAAAGGAAAATTACATGTTTGTCTGAATAATAAAGAATTCATCGTTGAAGGAATTAGTATCATTTCAAGCTTAGGACGCATATACTCGTCAAACGCAGTTAACTGGTTAACACGATCCGTGCCATGGGAGGTTTCGGGTATATTTTACTTATGAATTGTCTTGATTTTTTTAATAAAATATTAAGTTGTATTCAAGTTTCTGGTAATATTTATATATTTTGATATTTTTCTTTTACGTTTTCGCTGCTTCGTAACGTATACCAGCATCCGTGACCGTATGTCCTGTGAAAATATTTTCTTACAGGAATTGGCATGTACCATGTATGGTACACGTGGCACGGAAGGTGTTAACAAGTTTACGAATGGTCTGAATTTGTGTAGAATGTTGATATGAGCAATCTTTAGAAACTTGACACTTGGGCAACTGCCTGAAAAAGCAGAATTTTCATTAATTATGATTAAACTCAATAATAAACTAAGTAAGGCAAATAAATGACAATTCGTTGATAAGGCAAAAGTGGAAGATCTCTGAATTTGATTGGCTGAGCGTTAACATATTCCAGACTTCTTCTTTTTACGATTACTGGAAAAACTAATAAACGATTTTTTTTGAGAAGTCACATTCATTTAACAGTACGTAAACTCAATTGTAAATTAATAGAAATCTCGAAGATGCACTCTTGGAGTTTCTAAAGGAAAATTTCAAAAAGTAAATCTGACTGCTCGATAGTTTTAGTGCTAAATCGTATTTCCACGACTAGAATCGTTCATGAATTAAGTTATATTTCGCTTTATTGATTTTTATCTGAAGGTAATATAGGTCTTTACAAAAGCGTTTTAGATTGTATCCCTTACCGTTTTATATTGCTAACCCTTCGAGTGCCAGTTGAAACTTCCATATATATTCAAAAAATGCCAGACAATTTTAAACGAAGATGCATGGTTATAAACAAAAATTTATATTTCGCTCAAGTTTGGTCTAAAGTTCATACAGTTTTTACACAATACTGAACACATTCCTTCCTTTATTACTAATAAATCAAAAATAAACCTTCGCAAGTACATGAAGAAGAGATATATCGGTCCTTGGCACTCAAAGGGTTAAATTAAATTGTTTCAATCATTTCAACGTATATGTAAAAAAGGTGTGTACATTGAAATTTAAGAGAATAATTTTCGGCTAAAATTACCAGTCAGCGAAGTATTAATTTCAATGTTGATTACGTGCTTTTTTTAAAGTGAGTTTTCTGTTGTTATTGACAATAGAGAGACGGGAGTCGGATTCTTGTGTATATGATGAATGTAAATTGGGCAGATAATTTTGTTTACAAGCTTTTCTAGCGTGTTGATTAAAGAAATTAAAAGAAGATAATATATTGCACATGCAGTGGTGATCTACCAGAACAAAACTAAAATACTATATGTGCAGTAGTCGTCCACGAACGCGTTAACCCTTCGTTGGTAATATGATCTTCCAGCAATGTGGCCAGCAATATGGACCTTCTATGGTTGGACTTGATGTCATTTTCATATCATCGTGCAATAAAAATTGAAAATCGTGGTGAAGTCCTGACTAAATGAGATTTTCGGCAGACCTTTAATAGTCAATAATGTCGGCGGCTGGTTAAAATCCACCGGTTGAAAGAAAATTAACGAAAATGAAATCATTTCCTATAAAAAAGGTGCATGAGATTTGAGGTAAATTGAAGAGTGTAATCTTTACATATTGCAATGAAACATCTCTTAAGGCACGAATTACTCAAATTCTAAAATTCTAAAAATGTCATATTAAGTAATACTTAATTTATTTCAAACTTGCATTTACTAGTAAAAAATTGTAAGAAATATAACATGACCTTCTCCCGTATAATACAACAGCTAATATTTGGTGCAATATAAGGACGCGCCCATAAAAATCGTTAACGGTATGCGATTTAGTATGGTATAATATTCTGAAATACAAACTTGGCGAAATCAGATAGATAAAAAGAAGTTTTTCAGTAGAATGATGAATGAAGACGTAATTATATCAATTCATTTTCTAATCCATTGAATTTTTAATCAAGATGCCTTAAAGAAATAATTTTTGAATTTTATATTAATGTCACATTGCAAAATGTTCATTTTTTCAACTGAAAACAATATGATTAACGATATATGGATAGATATTCACATAAATAAATATTTTCTTGCTTCACTGTACGTGTAACAAAAAAATTCTGTTTTTACTCTTCAAATATGCTTTCAATAATTCCTTTTCGGATCTCTATTATACGCTGGGACTCAATTTATCCCATCTACATATCTCTCAATTAAATCGGTTATTTGAGGTTCTACTGTGTTCCGAAATATACACTGATAAAGGAATATATCGACCCCCGGCGATTTTGATCAAATTTATATAGAAGGGAATTCTCGACATATTTTGCACTCGTTTAAGTATTGGCAATAGTTCATGTAGAAAACGTGAAAGCAACTTTCCAAGTTAAGGATTGAAAATACATATTCTTTTAATACTTCTGAAAATAAGGGGCACAATACTTTTAAAAAATTGTGTTATTTTGAATCCTGAATTCAGTCATATAAAAATTGATACAGAAAACTATTTGCTTAAATTGTACAATACATTACGAATTCGATATTATTTACTTAATATTACTGTATTTTCATAGAAACTCTATATATGAACTGGAAATCAAAACAGGAAACATATATTTCTTGAATACTTTCTTTAACATCAGTTGTTATTATTATATACTTCTCATATTTTTCTGCATGAAGAAAAGATATTATAAACTTTTACAAATGTTTTACAAATGTTTTCAATCGTAATTCTATGCTGTGTATTATTAAATGTTCTCCTGACAGAAAAAGTCCATTTTTATCATAAAACTTAAGTGCCTTTAGTAGTGCATCATTTCTAAAATAAGGAATCTGAAAGATGAAATACAAGGCTAAACTACTTTAGATAGTGTTCACAGTGGTGAAACTAAACAAAAAGTGAAACGGTAGCGATTTCTTATGTCTTCCAGTGGGTTTTTAAACGCAACGAAATAAATCAATCGAAAGAAATTCTTTATAATACGAAACTAATTGTTGATTGCATTGTAAATCAATAATTTTATTATAATCATCAAACTTCTGACATATAAATTGACATCTACGTTTAATATAATTTATTTCCAGATACGAAATCCGTATGTGTTCTTTTTTTAAGATGGCTTTTACTTTTACAATTGTTACTTTCAATAATAATTATTAATTAAATTGTTTACCGCCCGCTGCATTTTTATTTATATTTTCATTTCAACAACTCTACGAATCGGACAGTCAAACTTGCATTTTTCGAAATATTAAAAAAACAATGTCACTGAATTTCATACTTTTCTTATAGCTTCATAAGCATGCATGTAGATCGAAAAATTAGAGTACTTTACATTTTCTGATCTTTGAGCAAAATCAATTGAAATCTGTCCAAAAGTACAATGTCTATGTCACGGTACATAATTATCTTTTTGAAAGCTTTCAAGTATTTCGCAATGCGTAAGGCTTAGGTTGAATAGTTCAAAATTACTATGCAGTTCCCATTCAATTGGATCCTGATTGAAGGTCGCGTCGCCTTCAACCAATGCAGCACGAGGTGCGCTGTAAAAGCTTTTCATATTCTATACAGCGGGCTGAGATAATACTGCACATTTGTTTTTCCAATAGTTCTTTCATTTTTGAAGAGATGATTAAGAACCTAAAACATGAAATAATTGCTGAAAGTATTCTAAAAGCATATAGCATAATAATAATACAAGCAAAAATATGTTTAACATTTATTGCTATATGACAAATACCACAAATTTCAGAAATATATTCTGTATGTTGGTTTACAGTCCACATATACGAATTTGCAGAATATAATAACATTTAGTAAAAAAACTTACTAGAAGGAATTGAAACTTTTAATATATAATTTAAACAATTGATTTTCTTTGTTAATTTCTTACGTGTTCAAATTCCCAATACAAAATTGTACTGTTCGAAAAGGAATTTTCCCGTCATCCTCCAATTTTTGAAAATATTCCAAAATATATCTTCGATTATTAATTAAACCGTGCCAAAGATTTAAATAGATTCTTTTAATTTATATTTTATTACTTTTCTATACACATATATATATTAACAATATTGTATTAAGCAATATTATCTACTAAAATCAAACAAACTTTTACCACATCAGCAATTACAATTGAATTATGTTTTTCCACAGGATGCAATCGGACTGTCAGGAATTCCGTTGGCTGGATAAGTTGGACAGGCCGAATGGGACGCTGTGTCGTTCGTATTAGGGCACCAGCTAGAGACCCACAGGTTTATACAGAATCTCATATTATAACATTGCTTTACAGACGAAAATAATATAGATATATTTTGAAAATAATTTAAACATTTTAATTACATTAAAGTTATTAGACAATTAATGATTAATAATTAAAATAAGATTAGCCGAAAAGTTTGGTCACCTTTTAAAACCACATATATGATGTACAATACAACCTGCGGCCCGATTTCAAATTCTTGTGGCCCGCGACACGTTTACAATGACATACCGCAGGCTGTAAGCCGCAGCAAATCACTACAAATGCTATATGATAATAAATCAAATAAATAAAATATACAATATGACTTCGGGCACTTTATTTGATGTGAAATTTAAAAAATCATCTTTGACAGTTAACCTGGTAATCCTGAATCTCTCAACATAGGTATGAACACATCCGTACTTGGTGTAAACTCATATGGATGTAGTAAAACCAGGTAAAAATCGAGAAACTTAAAAGAAAAAAAAGTATGTAATAATAATATTAAATAAATACTAATCCAGACCCAACTCAAATGACACCAACGTGACCTTCAGTTAAGAAACAAAGATGATCCTATAAAACATTCCTGAACAGTTTCAAAAGAAGAATGGTGTAAATAACAAATTTGTATAATCATGTCTTTTTTCAATTTACAATACTAATCCAGACCCAACTCAAATGACACCAACGTGACCTTCAGTTAGGAAACAAAGATGATCCTATAAAACATTCCTGAACAGTTTCAAAAGAAGAATGGTGTAAATAAAAAATTTGTATAATCATGTCTTTTTTCAATTTCTTTTTCGTTACCGTTGAAAGAAAATATATGCTGGCTTCCGTTGAACCTTGTAACAAGTATTAAAGTACATAGGAATATGCTCTCCTCAAAATATATAAAGTTAATCGTTATTAAATGATCTAATCGTTGAAAGAAAATGTTATCTGTGCAGGTAATCGAGTTGAAAGTCCGAAGATTACAGGTTGGTTTCTTGAAAAATACTAAATGCGAGGGTGCTTATATTCAATTCTCGGATGGGAACGAAGATCTTGAAGATGAATCAGGACGATATTGCGGTCACGTAACTGGAAACATAACCAGGTACACAACACTTCGGTTAATTAAAATTTTAAATGCAAGTGAAGAAAGCGTTATTAATCTGTGCATGTTATTTACTTTTACCACTACACGTTGATTTCCATCAAGCTGTACAACATTTTTTAATAACGGTCCAATGAATCGTGAAATAAGATAAAGAATTTCACTTTACTTATAATATTTCATGTACTTAATTATTACTTCTTTTATTTTATTTTTGTCTGTATGCAGATTAATTAACTTGATTAACTTCAATGTCGTATTGGTAAACGCAAGAAAATTAGTATTGAATTCCCGGTATTCCGATTGTGAAACATGAAATCAGAGAGTATATAAAAGAGATTTTCATTGATGTACCGCTAATGAAAAATAATTAACCAACACGATTATAATATTCACAGCATGTTATAAACCAAATGTGTATACCTTTAGTAGATAATGGATTAAACAGACGCCTGGGGTTTGAAACACAGCACTTCCAAGCCGCTTATAAACGCGCATTTAATGTGTATAGGTGTTGCCCATCCTGATAAACCCAACGTTTTGGTTTGCTTTAATTTCAATTTACTCACACTCCTCTGTCACGGTATTTGCTGGCATATAACTAAATATTCTGCCCATTACAGAGCTCAATTTCATCCAACTAATTTTCCAAGTGTTTCTGTCATATTTTACTATGGGAACAATTGCTCTTAATACGTACAACATAATATCATGCTATCGAAGATATGCAACATCGATGAAGTGGTTAAAATATATACACACAAAACACGTTCTACAGAAGTGCAACATTTCACTTAGGAAAAAATAAAACGTGTAGACATTTTATATTAAACATTCAAGTTTTAGATATTTCAACAGGATGTACAATATTTTTTAATTCGTTGGTGTTAGTAATAATTATTGAAAGTTTTTGATGTTATAGTATTTCAAACAATATTATTTTCATAATATATCGCGTTAGAAAAGTCAGTGTACTGGCGAAAAAGAGCAATTAATCAATTAAATTTCTATTGTTACACTTACCGAAATTTGAAGCAATTAACTAATAGTCGTAATGACGACATAATATACATATTTATCATAACATAAGGAATTTAGGTATTTGCACATTATATGCAAACGAATTTCTCGTTTATTAAGAAATTGATATTCAAAAATTCTAGGCACGTACGTCTGAACATCGAATGGAAAATGTTTTTACCAATAGAAGCTCTTTTACTATCATTTTTAGAAACATATACAGACACATAAAGCATGTGTAACAAATTTGCTATTACTATCAAAATTTAGTTCTGTCACCTACAAATTTCCAATTAATTGCATGCATATGCTAAATATTGATTTGTCAACATTTGGCAATTTATCGTGAAGAAGCTGTTAATCATTTAAGTTTCATTACGTTACATTAATTTTCTATAAAATAAATATATTATAATTATAATTTTTACTTGTCATTACTGTATATTACATAACATAGTAATAAAATATTATGTTTAGTTACTGTTCTATTATAACAAACGGTTGCCTTCGATGAAACTTATTTATCTTAAGATCGTAACATGTTCCATTTTGTTCAGCGAAAATACACATACAAGTAAAATGCAAATAACACCCTAAGTAAAAGCTTAAAAAGGTATAAAATAGTAGCAAACAGAATGTATTCCAAATGTGAAGTTGTCGACGGGAAATTGTAAACAACGTTGTTTAACGATGGCTCTCATACCATTAACCGAGTGTACTGTTTATTGACTTAACTGTGTCACATGAAGTGTAACGGTAGAAAATTTCACAGAAATTCCTACAATTCATTTTTTCCCAAAAATTATATCAACCCATTTTTCCTTAAGCTATTTTCGAAAATCCCTGCTCTTCATTGAAAACGACACAACATAATAAATATAAATTTAGCACTAAAACTACGGAGCAATTAGTGTGACTTATTCCCACTTTTTCATAAAAATTAGAACACTACGTTTCTTCAGATTCGAATGGTCTCCTAATCCTATATCTGAACAAATACACAAATTTAAATTAAAAATCTTTCGCAAACACCCCTTCGTAATTGAAATGCTTGCAAAATGAAAAACCTGAAGTTGGGTCAATTTGATCCTTACGATAGTTTTAGTGTTAAAAAAACAAGATACTCTTTTTTTGCATTTTCAAAAATACTAAATTCGAGGCGTGTTTACGCAGCACAAAATATAAAATTTTACAAACAGGTCCAACAGAAAATCCCCTAGCGTCCGGCATGCAATAAATCAGAAGTCCTGGACATATGTACATAACAGATCTAGTCAACTTAAAAAGACGATGTCCAGACCTCTGGATTTATGCAGGCCCTGGTTGTTTCCGTGACACGTCACGTCATCATTGTCAGGGAGTAGGCAGCACACCTCCACTCGAATTTCCCCGAAATACAGTATACCAAAAACGCCACCGAGTCGGACAAGAAAAATTCAGAAACGAGTAGATCTCATCAAGCCAGCGTCCGAGAAACATTCAACTGTAATTGCATACGAATATTAACGTGTTCTTTAAACATTCTTCTATCATACATTCTGAGAATCACGTCTTCCTCTCCTACAAACTAACGATCTTCCATCACAATTAAATTTGCGTTGGAGGTAAGCATTGCAAAACGTAGAGTTCACATTCGTGTCGCAAAAATTTTCTTACGCCGTAACAAGGCGTATTAACTTTTTTCAAGAATTATTACATATAATAATGATAGAAGCACAGCTACGGTTTTACATAACACAAATACAAACACAATGTAGACTTTATATCGAATGAAAAGAAATTTGAAATTTCTCGAACGCTACTGCAAATTCCAAACAGTGATTTATATTCATATGCGTATGTGACCCCGCGCCGTACCCCTCCGTGCAAACACACGAACATCGTATATTCTAAAGGGGATTCCCCATTTTAATTACCCCGCGCAGGTTGTTCCTGAGAAAGGGGCCGAACCTGACGATCATAATGGATTCGGACGCAAAGTTCGCCGCAGAGAATCCGGTAATGTTCTCCGCCCAATTCTCGATTTTGCCTGCCCAGCTAGCTATCGAACGGCACCGCGGCTTCTCGCCGTCCCCTCCGTCCGCGTGTCCCTTGGAATGTGCCGTACGTAAAGATCGAAGATCCTGTAAACTGGTGTCCCCGGGTTATCCGGGTGTCTACCCGCGCGGTATCAGATGCAGGATCGCGATGGAGTCGTCCGCGGGTCGTTTCAAAATCGGCGGCCAACCGGACGACCTCTTCGATCTGATGAACCGCACGTCCCAGGACGGCTGCCAGACGGAGAACTGCGAGCAGCACGTGGAAATCGTGGCGGATGTCCCTGAGACGAGGGTCGCCGGATCGGATGGACAGTATCCGCCGAAAAATAAGCCCGGAAGGAGACGCAGGAGTCCCGATCACGAGGAGGAACTGGAATTTATCATTGGGCAAACGTCCCGCAAGTTCAGGAGGGGCAGGAATAATCGGAGAAGACTTAAGAAAGTGAAGAAGGAAGCTGTTGGATCAAAGGCTCCGATCAATTCCCGCGGAAAGGAGGTGGACAAGGATGCCCGGAGGAATAACGACCGTCTAAAAGAGATCACCGAGCAGTCCTCCGCAGACGTTTTCCCCGGCAAAACCGGCTCCAGGCTATCTGCCGGCTATCGCGATCAGGGCGCCCGGTCCGAATCTATCCAGAAGCGACTTCGTCACCCGCAACGCGTCCATAAGAAGTCTATGGGTCTGATAAGCCCGAAGAAGAATTCCCATCGTGATCTGCAAGACATATCGGACGTGAGGATACTGCCCGACGGAACGCACGAGGTCGCCAGAAAGCGGTTGATCCAGGAGAAAGTCAGTTTGCTGCAGGTGAGTCATCCTTTTAGAATATGGGGTAGGTAGGTGTATGTAGATCTATTACGATTTGCTAAGATACCAATCTTCATCGATCGTAATACGCCGGAATATTAATCGCAATGATGAATCAGATGAATAATTGAGAAGGAACTCTTGTCCGTGATTTTATGTCATCGTTTGATTCATGGTTGCTTGTCATTGAAAAGGCTTACGTGCTATTGGCAATGTGTCACGAGAGATGTTTAGGAGAAGTGTTTACAAAAGAGCCTGCGTGATAATATAAATTCATGTAAATTTCTAAGAAAACTGTATTATTAGACTATTGAGATTTATTATGTATAGCCTTTGTTCATTGAGATTTATTATGTATAGCCTTAGAAATCATTTTGTGAAGACAGTTTCGTAATTTCTAACGTTATTCGGTTCCGTTTGCATAAACAATCATTCGATATAGATTTAGTATAGTATCACGTTCATTTATTGATGCTTTTCCTGAAGAGAAATTTTAATGTTAAATTTTATAAATTCCCTCATATAAAATGATATAACAATCTTTTTCGAATTATTATTTAACTTGTTAACTGAAGAATTTAATTTGAAAAAACTCTGATAATGCTCGCAGTGAAATCAAAGAATGAAGTGCGTATTTATTAGACGCAACCCAAATACGCCTGAAATATATTCTAACTAAAAGCTAAAGCAACGCGAAGAAAAGTTACATGTTTATCTAAAAAAAATAAATAATTGATCGTTGAAAGAATTAGTACCGTTTTGATTTTAAGACGATGTCTATACTCCTCGAAGGCAATTAAGTGGTTAAAAGCATAGTTTTTCAATACAGCGTGAACATTGAAAAATTTATTAGTAGTTTCCGGTAATCTGTTAAGTGACCTCATACATTATTAACAAAGTTTTCACAAGTGTTGTTTTTTTTTTTGTTTCATTTGTTTTCCTTTGCTCACGTTTTATAAGATTGCTATGAAAAAATCAACAATTATTGTAACACGAACTTTTTCTCAGAAATCTATAAATATTCTTGTGGCTAATTTTATTTATACTTCAACAGAAAAGCTGATTCTATTTTATAATCATATATGTATAGTAATGACTACTTTTACACTCTCTTATAATGTACAGTAATAATTATTTTACACAAAAACTTTTTAAAAGAAGTTATAACTCTCAATCATCGACGGGTAATTTTAAAAATCATCACTTTCTATTATTTTGAGAGCAATAGCATAAATAACCCCTTTGGCAGTATTTAAAAATACGATTACGTAAATATTTTCCTCGAAGATTGACACAGAAAATCAAAAACAAAAATAGAATACACAAGAAAAATAAAAAGTATATGTTTATGTATTGTTTCCAAAAAATGGTAGTCTGACCACACAAAAGTATTCGTTGTCTCGTCGTTGAACGTTGCGCATTAGTTTTTTTTCTTTACGTACTTTTCCAGGAAATCCCCTCGGATTCCACAAAGTTCCTCCGCATCCCACATTAATTATTAATTTTGACATGCTACTTTCTTAGTTCAACAACATTCCAAATATCAAGTAAATGAAATCGTATGTTTACATTGATTCAAACGTAAATTAAAAGTTACATTTAGTTCAATATCAATACCACTGATTTGTATTTGCAATTGTTCAAATCGTGGGATTTTGAAATTGAATAATTCAAAAACATTCTTTTTTTGTCTCGATTCGTGATTCGAATAAACCAATTAAACAATAATAAGTAATAAATAATTAAAATAAACCAATATGATCTATTCTTCAACTGAAGTGTATTAAAAGCTATTTTCTATCAAGAAATAACCTAACCATTCTATACAGGGTGTCCCATAAATAAGTGGAAAATATTCTGGAGACGGTCTCAACGTAGAGTAGGGCGAGGATAAAAGTCACGTTTTTCGTATAAATGATCGTGAAATTTAATAATAACAATCTGGAGATGTCTTTTTTTATTTTTCGTAAACCGTAACTATCGTGCTTTATTTTTTCACTGTCCTGTTTTGACTGATAGTGTTATTGTTTATTAAATTAGAGTATAAAATATTCGTCAACTCAAAATGGACTTTTTGCCTCATACTGATACCTCATAAATTATTTTCTAATTAACAGCTATTTCTTAAATAAATCCTTTTTTACATATACGACTTATTTTCTACCACTCGTTCTCTAATCAGGACCCAAAAAATTGTATTGTGTTCTCTATTACCCTTTTTGCAAGGTGTTTCATTATATTTAACAGTAAAATTTTTATTTTATAATGCAACACTCTAATACGTAGATTTTAAATGAACGCAGGACAAATCTTTATACGGAGCAAGAAGTATCAAAAAGCGACCTTATGTCCCAATAGTACCTCCGTAGCTTTTTCGATGTATACATTGAAAAAGATTATCACCCAGAAATAAATCAAAGCATGTACATATTGCTAAAGAAATATACAATAGAATAAGAAAGAAACAAAAACAAAAGCAGTGATCATTATGTTTTCTTTCTTTGCTAAGGTTCCCGAATATCGGTATGTGAGAAGGGGCCGAATGCAAGAGAAATTAGGGAGCAGCAGTTGCGTTGGCGACTATCTCGCTATCTTGGAGAACGTAGACGGGAAAATTTTCGAAATTTCGAAATTCTGCGGCGAGGGTCACGTGCCGCGGATTTTTTCGCGAGGAAAGCATATTATCATCGAATTCTTCGCAGAACAGGATGGCACGATAATGCACGACGGGTTCCAGTTGTCACTTCAAGAAACTGAAGAATCGTCGGCCGTGCAACATGATGGAAACTGCGAGTTCATTTACAAAAGCTCGGAGCGCACCAGAGAAAATATCAAGTCTCTGCAGAGCTGGTACCCGCCCAACACTCTTTGCAATTACAAATTCATTGGGAGATCTTCTGAGAAGATTTCCATTCATATGAAGATAATTAGAAATGAACCGGAACAGGAGTACGCGACCCAGAAGCAAAACTTTTCTTTGAATTACTGTACCGGAAACGAGATCGCTGTTTACAATGGGATACAGGTGAGATACTGAACAAAGAGTATAGCAGGATAAAGGGATCAGAAGTACCCTTAGCCCGATTTTGTTCGTCTTCGATTAATTTTAATAACTTTGTTTTTTTCTCATTCGCGCGTTATTTTTTAAAAATCTAAAATATCAAAAGTTACATAATGTAGGCACTATACAAAACACGCGACAGATATAAACGTGCAATGAAAAAAATTTCAGTTACGATCATTTATACTTTACCCTGTCGATCGTAGTACCGATGGTATATAGAAATTCTTCTCATTTTCCTTTCCTTCTTCCTTCGTGTAACATTACTATTTTTGTATTAATTATAATAATATTCAATTTACAGGCAAACAATAGTATTCTAATGTGGTCCTACTGCGACGTGTCTCACCAAGACATCAACAACATACAAGTTCCGCTCACATCCACCGGAAAAGAACTATTGATACAATATTACAGCGCGAAAGGTTCGTACGATGGACAAGAATTCATTTACACAATATCATACAAGTTTACAAAGAAATCGCAGAATTCGACGACCAGGCGGCAAGTGCAAGACGAGAATTTCAAACTGATCTCCCTCAGGCCAGTGAATTTTTCTGCTTTGAACTTGAACGAGAGTGAGAACTGCAACTGCGATTTTGGCGACAGAATCGGCAGTTTCAAAAACTGGTTCATGGTTCTCGTTGTCCTGGGAGTCGTGTCCTTCCTCGGGGCTATTTTCACTATAATCGCGCTCCTCGCAAAGTGTATCAAAATGAAATCAATGGAGAAGAAGCTTCTCCAAACCCCGAAACTGTGAGATCAATCAAACTTTTGTACAAATTTCTATTTATGGAAATAAAAAATGTTTTTACACCCAATAATTATCAAGTACCCGAACCTAGACTCTACACACTGTAAAAAATTGACCGTATTAGTCGTCGCGTCGTTCCAGTAAAGAAACGAAGAGGAACGAAAGGATGCGGCCAAATAAGGAGGTCAAAGCTACCCTTCAGCCAAATTAAATTGATGTTCAACCATTCGATAGCTTGCCAAGAAAAAATAATTCGTGCCAAGTTTCGGGAGGATAGCTGTAAGAAAACATCGAGGTTATTAGGGTTTCTCTTATTTTTTTCTATTTACTTAAAATATCTGAAAAATGAGACTGGGGTATATTGTAGTTAACAAAGAATATGTTAAGAAATCCTTCCGAATTTTTTGGTGCAAAAGCTGGATTTTTATTATGTTTTAACATCTTTGATTTTATATGAATAAAATTTCGAATTAAGCAGTGAGAAAGATAATTCATAAAATATATCTACACATTGTAAGATTTTTATGAGAATGTTTGCATTTGTTTAAGTAAGGGAAACAAAACAAAAAGGGATCTCCTGGTTTTCTTTTGTAATTTCATTTCTGGTCAAGATAAAGAGCTGAAACTTAGGTGTGAACTTTTGTTTCTTGACAAGCTATTAAATAGTCCAGCGTGAGTTTAATTTCGTACATGGGCACTTCTAACCACTTTATGCGATTATAACCTTGCAGCAAAATTTTTGCTTCTTGGTTCCAAAGTCCAACATAATTGCAAGAGAAATCTTGAAAATTTTCTACTTGAAAAGTTCCGTGCTTGCATAATAAGACTTTACATACAGAACGTTTTTTACTGTACGAGAAATATTGCGAGAAATAATTCATTCATTAAAAATCTAAGCGATTTATTTTAATTACAAAAATGTATTGTGTCTGAATATATAAATGTAGATTATTTAAATATTTAAATTTATACAAAATTTCATTTGCTTTATTAAAAGGTTTCAAAGATGAACAGGACAAATATATATCTTCTCAAACTTAAGATATCTTCCTCTGCGTAAGTTCACCTTTTTGAGGTAAAGTAGCTATTAAATTAATTTATAGAATTTTTCCATCATAAATCTGATTAGTTTTGCTTTTGGATTTAATTAATCCAAACTTTACATCAATTGTAAGTTTCATTGATTTCATGGTTTTCGATCAATTGATTTACACAACTGAGACACTTACATAAAAGAAAAACTAAAATAGCATAAATACGCATTTTTATCATAATCTTATTCTTGCAATATTTGCCAAATATTAAACAGCATTCTGTATAATTTTGTATCTTATTCCTTAAATTGAACGCACATTATAGTAACTGTGGTTTATTGCTGCAACTTGTAAATAGTAAATATATGTGTACATCGCGCTCAACATATCTGGTTAGAAAATAAGAAAATCGTATTGTTATGATGGCCACGTGACACGTGGTTGTTATTGCGAAAGAAAGCGATGCAAAATATAATATATAAAAGATATTCGTATAAGAAAACTGTACTATTTATTAGGTAATGGAAAAAATGGAGGGGTCAGTTATAAAAAGTTCTTTTCGATAGTAATTAATAGAATGCGATTATTTGTTACGAAATTCCATCCAGTTCAGATGTTAGTTTAGAAAGATATCGTTTGCGCTCAATAATACTATAATTAAATCAAATATATGTAAAATTATTAATTACATTGACAGACGATGAATTAGAAACGTAATTTATTCAATGAAAGATCGGTAAACGTTTTGTCATGCTAAAGTACGTCGTTTCTTGTTAGCGCTCGATTTAAACCTTGGTGTACAAGTCTGAGTGAACACTACAGCCGTATACGAGGTGTCCAATTTTAATTTACTTGGGCAGATGTCTTGAAAAATTGTCAAAATAATGAAAATCATTTCGAAAAAAAGCTATAGAGTATTTACCCGTTAAGGTAAATGCCTGTATTAAGTTAACCATTATATAATTAAATTAAATTTTTTAATAATGATGCTAAAAATAAACAAATTTTGGTATATATGTCAATCGAATATTTTTAACCAGTGGTTAATCAAGTGCATATGTAAACAACAAATATTTACACTTGATTTTGTCGAACACGAAATCTCAAATAAAAAAGCTTTATTTTCCATGAGAAAATAATTTGAAAAGATAGTAATTAATTTCTGTCGTAATCAATGACTCAAAACAATAATCAAATCAAACTCATATTACTGTCAGCTGCAAGAATATACATACAATTAAAAGTATAGATTTTTGTTTAAAAATTTGGAGTTGATTTAGGAAAAGCCTCTGAATGTTATCGCGAAGTGAAATTAAATGTAAACATAATCTACTTCCTCGATACCCTGCAGCTTTCGTTGGAAATGTTTTTCATATATCTATTTCATATGTTCAAACATGTTTATCTGGGAAGATGAAAATCACACATCCTGTTTATTATACTAATATTAACTAATATTAACCCCTTGCCTCATAATTCCTTTTGTTGCTATGACAGATAATCATTAATAAGTTGCTATAAAAATTAAGTAATCAATACTCTTCTTAAGTCTAAATGAACTTTAAATGTTAAAAATTCCTAACAAAAATAACACAAACACAATTACAAATAATACTTATATTCATTAACTTCTATTTTAAATCTTTCTAACTGAGCTAACATGGTATTACGAGGCAGGGGATTAATGAACCGAAAAAGTGAATCAAACACAAAATTCGATGAAAATGCTCAAAATTCATTCTACATCAAACTGTAAGGAGAAAACGAAAGTTTGCTAGGTTACGAATGAAATACGTGCGAACGAGGCATTTGGTCGTGTAATGTCTCGCGAGATAAACTATTTCCCCATTTATTGCATCCCGTGGCAGCGGCTTCTTTATACACGGAGGAAAATGATCGCGGTATGGTATCACGCAAAGAATGAGCCAGAAAACTTCCTATTTCCAAGGAACAAATATTTTACATCATTGTGTGGACCAATGTATTCTGCGTTACCGTGGAACAAGTATTATATGATATGAATACTGGGTAAGTTTCCTAACAAGTATAAGTCAAATCAAACTCGACGTGTCTGGTAAAGGTGTCCACAGTATTATCGTGTTCAGATAAATGGTTGACCGATGTACATTACCGCTACAAAATATTTGATCATTTACTGTAATTGTAATCTAAAGAGAAAACGATTGAAAAGAACATTATTTTATGGCTGTTGGTTCACTACTATTATTCAGACAGAACATTTCAAGTGTTTTCACAAAAATCTAAACGTTCATTCGTATTATTTTCACTGGAAGATCAATGTTTTACTTAATTCAATTAATAAGCGATTAAATATTTTTCAACGGCAGTGTACGTAAATACAAAGTTTCCTAATTATTCGACAGACGAATGAGTTACGATTCATTATCAAATTACGATGGAAGGAAAAATTATAAGTAGCAGTTTTCTGCTTTTTATATCACACCCTTACGGAAGAGCTGTCGCAAATAAAAAAGTTTACAATGTTTGGTTCATTACACGCAAAGAAATTTTTTTTATGTAAAAAATTGCCACCAGGAAAAGAGTTAAATAATTAATTAGAATATTTCAAACGATAATTCACTAATTTTCCACACTAAAAGTTCTGTTTATTTTTCGGAAAAATTTCATGTTTTCAATTTGTGACAGTTGTTTCATTAGAATGTGATACATTTTACAAGTTAAATAAGTTAATAATTCATTTTTTACCTACTTCTTGATTTTCCTTCCAAAAGTATTCGAACAAATAACAGAAAAACTATTCACAATACCATTCAGTCATCCATGATTTGTCTACGAAGGACATACAAAATTTAGTGTCTCTTTTAAAGCGAGGCTTTAAAAAAAGGCTTTTCAATTGAAGAATTCAGAATCTTTCTCAAAATGATTTTGAGAACTATTAAAAAGAACGGAGATCGAGAAAAGCAATAATGAACATTTGATCACAAAAACGGATATTATCTTTCGTTCTCAGCAAATATTTGAATATTAGAACTCGCGATATTTGAAGATTCCCTGGACTGTTTTTACATCTTTATCATGAGAAAATTAGTCTCTGATGAGAATTCTATAACCTTTGAGTGCATTATATCCCGAAATCGTGATGACCGATAAAAAAATGAACATACGATGACAGTAACTGGGAATTATATACAGCGATATGTTTGAAATGCATTGCAGTGACTCGGTCAAGGTATGAATCAGCGCTGCTTCGTATATTCCATGCGTAATTTTGAAACTCTCCGAAGCCACATACAAAGAAATGTACAACGTTCGGCTGCCGTGCCAAATAATAATTTAGCAAAATGTTCCTAACTCGTTTCATACATGCATTGAGTCGCGAAGTGTACTTCAAAATATTGATTTCCGCGTCGTTGCTTGTATTCGTGTATTTCCATTGGATATTTCCAATTCCTTCACGTTTGTAACTGTGAAACGTATTTTTATAAGAGAAAACGCAACTTGTAATGTGATAATCTGTATTTAATCGAATTATACACCCAGCAAGAAATCATACGATGATGTGTAAGTGTGTCAAGCGAAATGAAAAGATCGCATAATAAAATCAAATATCGCTAATTGTATACACCTGTGTACTTTTTATACGCATTCCATGTATATCTTTGTGTACCAACTTTCTTGGTCACTTACGATCTCATTACAATACATCCGTCCCTCCATTCACGCAGGTCTCCTTTTTACGTTGTAAATGATAACACTATTTACACGACATTGTTTATATGCGATATCAATTTACGCGATCCGTATTTAGTGACACCGAATCAAATTTACTTTTGTTTACTGAAATGTCATTATTATCATTTTTTTGTTAACACTAGAACTACCAAGCAGTAAAATTGATTATTCTGCGTTTCCATATAAAATTTATAGGAATACATTTATTGAGTTTTCAATTTCTTTATATTCTATTGTAGATCGTATTTATCTAAATCAATTTAATGAATAATTTCTACGAAAATCATCTGTGCCTTTTCTATAATTGCGACAGAAGTGACCCGAAATGAGTCATTTTGACCTATCTGGTAATTCTAGTGTTAAACTATGTGAAAATAAATACATACTTCTGAAACGTGTACCAACTTTTTTTTCCAATATTTTGTTTTCTTTTATACTAACAGGCTCTATTTACGCAATTTTCATTCTCGTAAAATGAATCCACGTAAAATGGATACCCCGCGTAAATGGAGGAACACGTGTACTATTACCTTATAACCAACAGTGTTATCAACACAATATGGAAAAACAAATCATAGCGCTGTATATTCAAACAGTGATCGGAAACCAAAACGTGAATTGAATATTGACTAAACCAAGAACAATATTTTTTAATCGCAAAAAGAGTTCGACGAACCCTTGTTGGTACGGAGCCAAGTAATAGATTCTCGTATACAAGGTGTCCTATTTGGAGCTACCTGTACAATTATTTCCAAACTATTCGCTATTAAAACATGATTCAAACACATAAACATGATTAAGGGACTCCATTCCGAAGGAAATATTTTATAATACACAGAAATCACAGCGACTATTAAATCAACGTGTCTTTCTTTAGCTAGGTGTGTAACACATTTTGAAATAAATTCATTAACCTGTGATATGTCGATCTCGCCAGATCACTCAAGTTTATTTTATCTTCTTCTTCTTCGAGTCAAATAACGACACGAATATAAAACTTTCATTAAAATTTTACGAGCGATTATATACACTTTGGTTATATACCGGTTAACCCTTTAATTCCAGAGGACTTCCTCGCCAGTATATACAGTAACCACTATAAAAGACAGCTTTCTACAATTCATATGTCGCAAATAGACTATCACTTTTGTTAATTTATTGTATTACGAAACCTCTTGACTTTTACATAGTAAGTAATGGGTCATAATAAATACTTACCGGAATAAGTAAATTTTATTTTATATTTAATTGCCATAAACTATACTGTGGATTTATTCTCTTAAAAACCTAACTGGTATATAGAAATAAATCATCGGATTCCAGCCATTAGGATTCCCTCGAAAAAACCATCCTATATGCAAACAATTTTCAGAATTATAAGAGGAAAGTCGTACAACTCCTTCGAAAAAAGGTTCTTTATGTCAGTGTCATGGAAAATGTCTTCTAGAGTAAGTTTCAAAGCAGTACGCAAAAAATTCAATTATTCTACATTCTGCGTAATCTGGTTGATTAGAGAAATTTATTCTTCTTGTACTTAAAACTTAATTTTTTCTTTAATCTTTCTAGCAGCCACAGTTTTTATGAGCTTAATAGCTTAAAGTTTTCCACTAGTTGGTTGGTATCTAACAGAGATGGGGCTGTCAGAAGAATAATCATATTTTAAATGTGATTTAAGAATTCTGTTATATTATTAATTAGAAATAGTTTTTAGGTAAAACTTTTTACTGGTTCGATAACTCGATAGAGTCAGCTTTATTATTTGGAAATGAGATTGTTTGTATTTATATCAAATTTTGTCTTGATTTGAAACAACGTTTCGTATATATCCGTATTATTGGACACTAAAACTTTGTTCACTCCTATCTGAAGTCTAATTTTTTCAGCCATAATCTCTTTTGCAATACATACAATTACAACATGTCTAAGTACCTTCCGTAGTTTATGCCGGTCTTAATTCACTCGAGAAGATCGTACAATTTACTTTAATCTAGAACCAATAAATCAACGAAAACAGAACATGGTTTTAGAAGGCTCTTTCGTTACTGGATCGATTTTCTTCTTCTTGGAGTATTTAGCGTGAGTAATCTTGCAGGGAGACGTCGCGTTGCTTATTTTATTATTTCTTCTCTACTGACGTCGCGAGAGACGCCTTTAAAGTAGGCCTTTCTTTTCGATTTCTACCGTGGACCTTCAGTCCAATATTTAGCAGAGTGGGTAAACGTAGTAGCCCGTTCACTTCTGCGCCATTGTTGCAGCATATTTCTGCCTTATTAAAACCTCTGGGGTGCACAGTATGAGCTGCATTCCTTTGTTGGCTGATGCCCTTAGCAGTATCCTTAGCCGGAGCTCTTCCTTTAAAGTAACAATTATTAAGACTGGACCATTGTGTTTCTTTGGATATCTGGGAGGCTTGCTCGGCGTAGCTAGTCTGTCGTGCGTAACAATCAGTTTTTTGCATTCCAGTTATTATTTTCCTTTGGCGACGTGCACTCCTTTGTGGCTTCCCGTTGTTGTTTGATTAACTCGTAAACTTTTCTTCTTTTTATTAAGCTTTATGGCATATCATCCACCACCCGTTACATTACAATTTTTTCTGATAAATAAAGTGTTTATATTTATAGAATTACTACTTGATCCTAAGAATTTTCCTTCTCGCTAAGCGTTTTTGTCAATTCCTCGATTTACAATACATATAGAACAACTTCCTTTATCTGAACTCGTCGAGAAACAAAGCAATACGGATGACTGCCTTATGCGAATAATAAGGATTTACCAATTTTTATAAAGATTAGAATCTATTAAGTATATCGTCTGACATTCATACAACTCGATCTTTGTACATACATATATTATATTTTGGCGGAATACATAACTTTCATCTTCATATTTGATATCATAAATTTCCACTCATACAGTTTGAATAAATGGAATTCATATAAATAGAGTACATTTTATGGAATAAATATTCTTCAGTTTATATTTAATGCGCCATCTACGAGAATTTTCAGAAGTTACTAGCCGGTTATTACCAACATGCGGTTATTAAAATAGTGAAAGAATTTCCCTAATCTGTGTTAGAAAAATAAATCACATTTTACACAGATTTCAAATACGTACGGTGGATACAATGTATTTTTCAGTCTACCATTCTGAAATACCGACATCGTAAAAAAATCCCAAATACACAAACGAACTCTACCTGAATCGAACGATTAATTTCTGAACTATATAAGACTGCAACATGCACAGTGTCTCCTAGGATGTCAATTTTTACAATGTTACGAGCACTAAAAATTACATTATTATATATTTTAGAGAGTTAGATTTGTACGACCAACGAGAGACAAGATAGACTGAACGTACAATGTAGTTTTGTCACACGGCCGAGCGGTTACATGACCACTTCACCAATCCCGCGTCACTTACAACCTTATCGACAGAGTATAAGTAAAAAAACCTTGTTCATTTTATTTTACTTCCTCAATATTACATTTTTCAGACCATCGGACACGAAGTCCCATAAGATGTGCAGTCAATCCTGTTCCTCATCGATGATTTGTACGACATTCATCGAAGCTGTCAATGAAAGCTTTCATGCGATTCACTTTCTTAATCAACATGCTTCTTCAGATCATCACAATTCAAATACTAAACCGTAATTAAAAGTAAAATATAACCCGTGAATTATTCCATTAAATAATTACATATACATGTATTTATTCAGCTACCCATAAATAAATGTTACTTAATTTTACATTAACATAATACATAAATATTCATAATATTCACAATTTTATATACATTTTTTATTTTCAGCCTCACAGATAAAGTGGACTTGGGTTACAAATTCCTACTTACCATAAGCTATCATACCCATTTACTTCCCTTTCCTTGCCTTGTTGCTGTACAGACATTGTGCATAAATATACTTTGGTCATTTCATTCATTTCTTTCTCTTTTCTCCTTTTTTAAATTCTCCTTAACTGCCCATTTTTTTTACTTACGACCTCCTCAACGTTCATCCCTACTTCCGTTTCCCCATACTTTTTGACTAAATGCTCTACATAAGAAGCTCAAAATTTTGTATTATCGGTAACGTCGAGTGTAGCACCGAAATGGTACGGCGCTCCCGAGGACCCTCAAAGCCCTAGACAAAAATTTCCATTGCATATAATGCCTGTACGTATCTAGAGTTTGTGTACATAGTATAGGATAAGCACTGCTTCACGATACCTAGGGGAACAATTATTTTTTTAAATCCCTGGGTACATTGTAATGAAAGCCGCAGATAAAAAAAATAAATACCTTGTATAACATTTCTGGCCATTTACAACTTTCAGATATGGCAATAAAGCGCTTTGATACTTAACATTCAATAATAATCCACACATCATAAAGCCGCTTATGGTATTTACCAGATATACCAGGATTTTTAGTGATTATAAAGTAAGAACAGGCATCTACATTTCCGCCCGTTGAAAAACTAACTCCACTCATATCGAGAATCAATTATGGAGGGATAGCTGTGGTAAGAGAATGACTTTGGGACCGAACATCACTGACTACCTGGTAAGTATACCAGGGCGGGGACAGATTTAAGGCATGTATCTTAAATCTATAGCAATGGTTTATAATCTATCCGTTATTATGCAAAGCTAAGTGTCAAGGCACATCATTAACACACTTGAAAACACCCAAGCTAGGAGAAATATTTGACAATGTACTAATTTTGGGCGCCTTAATCCTTTACCTACGATCTTTATTGCAATGTACCCAGAGGTGTTAAAAAATAGCTGTGTCGTTGGCATCGTAAAACGGTGCTCCTGTATGCTATAACGGTACATAGAGACAAACGCAACAACAGTAAGACACTTTTTTGAACAATTTTGCGTTTCAACCTTTGAATAACCAAACATACTTCTCATAGGCACTGTTTTTCTTATGAAATGAAGCAATTAACAATATTTCAGTCCAATTGAATTTGGCAGATTTTTTGAAGTTTCGCCGTTTTATTTACTTATGTACTGTTGATAACATTACAAGTTAAAACGAGAAAAGTATTGTAACATGAAATCTTGTCGATAATGTCTATGCAAATCGCAAGTTTTTACCTCCAGTCAGCATTCAACACTATACACATAAAGAGAAGATAAGTTGATAAAATAAATGGAAACCAAGAAAAAGAAAATTTTCTTTCATTTCATAGCAGTCAGCCAGACTTACTTTGTGAAACTGTTTAATAATATATAAATAGTTTAATGGTATATAAAATTTACATGTTCTAAAAAATGACATTTCATATCATATAAAAGATCAAAAGTTTAAAGTTAAAGCATAGCAAATTTCCTTTTTCCACGGAAAATACCTTTTTAATAATATTTCTAAATATAAGGAAATTAGTCTCTGTGAATTTTTATAACTTAAATACGAATTTATTTATTTTTTATAAAATTTTAAAGCAATTATTAAAAAATTTGTATTTCTTAATTCCTCAAAAGTAAAATAATTCTTTATCGATCAGTGTACCTTCCACATTATGACAATTTTTTATGATGATAAAATGACAATGTTATAATAATTTGATTAGCTTAATCTGTGCTGAATTGTGTTCAATTTCCGGATTAATCATTCTTGTTTGTAAACATTTGAACTGTAAGAACAGAGTTAAGATAAATATTTTATTACTTTCTGAGGAGTCGGTAGTATAGATTCCTTACACCATATAGTTTCATACGATCTTCACTCTATCCTATTCTTAGTCTGTGCTTTTCTAAACATTGCAAAACAAAACATTATTTAAAATAAATATTTCTCAAATTTTTTATTTAAATTTATTTGCATATAAATTACTTCAATAGGACATATTGTGTTTGTAAAAAATTTACTTATCATAATAACAATTTTAGTAAAAAATACACACTACATATTTAATTTTCAATTATAATGTTATTACACTCGCCAAAATATTTCATAAGAATGTATAAACTTTGGTAAATAAAAAATATTTCTTAATTTTCTAATCATTTTAAAATATTAATTTTATCAATACCACTAAGAAAATGTTCGGTAAAATGTAACATAAAATAATGAAATTGATGAGATTATTTTTATTCATACCACAACTGAATCTTTTATATGAACGTTAAACGAAAATATATAAACGTGCCTCAATAATAAAACATTCTGAATTTTCATTACACAATTTTATGCAACCGATTGGCAGTATTGTTTTGAGAAAGACATATTTCTGTATTGCTTTAAACTACTATACACACGTTATATGTAAATTTCCGAGGAAACGTGCACAAAATTATGAGGAAATGTGCCTAAGACTATAAAGTTTCAATCACATGTCAATTTATTCACTCAAAATGTTTTTCCTTGAATAGAAAGTATGTTCAAAGATACATATGTCATTATGTAATAAGTACGTTACGGATTTTATATATCTATTTGTCGATATTGCAACAACTTTAAGAAAATTGAATAACTTCTACATAGTACTTGATGAAAACTTCAACAAAACAAAGAAATTTCAGTGAAATTCTCTAAATAAAGCCAGAAGGATCCATATTTGCATAAACATTCACAGTCCGATGACATTAAATGACGTGCGAAACGCTTTCCCGTTTCAAGTTATAAAAATAACCTCAGATGGTATCGTCTAGCTCTATCACATTCTACAGTTTCTACCATTTTTTTTAGTAATAAAATGATTTTAGTAAACGCGTATAACATGCATCTCAAAAAAAATTATAACGAACGCATGATACAAAATCTCAACGCAAAATCCACCTTCTTGTAAGCGCGCTTCGAAAGGGAAAGAGGGAACCAAGAAAGTCTCCCCAGCAACAGAATTGAATAAGTCTAGTAACGGCCGCCAGAGGTAATAGCGTCGCAAAGACGGTCGACAAGTTTGAACCAATGACAGCGCTTGGTAACGAACGGCGGGATGAAACGCGTCACCCGATTGGTCGGGCAATCGCCAAGGGAGCCACGGTGGGACAACGGATAAACAGATTTCAAAGTTTTCGAAGTGCTCGCAGCGGAAGAACACACAGACAGAGAGTTGATGCCCGGGTGCGCGTGTTTACCGCGAATCCGTACTTGAAAATCCAAGCATCGCAAAGACAGATATCACAGCTCGCGCGACACGGTTTGTCGATCAGTTTTAAACGTGTCATGTGCGATGTCATTTGAAACTAATTGTGACAAGTGAGAGACAAGAAAATATCGAGGATCGTTTTTCTTGTTTCCGTCGAAGATTCGCTTTTGTTTACGAAGAGGAGGGGTGACTTACACGATCGACGAGGATTCCCAGGCAGATGTTGCCTGCCAGCAGTTTCCCGCGCGACGCACGTGAGCGTAGTAAGTGGGGAGTGTAGTGTAGCATAGACGAAACCTGTGTGACATCGAAACTTTCGAAGACAGATGTGATGCGTATTAAATCGGTGAAACGTCACGCAGGAAAACGCGTACGGACAATTTCAATTTGTTTCCGCCAGTGAAATGGAAGAAACGAAATTAATATGCTCCTGATTTGGAATCGTTTAATCGAGTGTAAGAAGAGGTAGCTAGACCGGTATTCATTGTGAAATTTTATTCGATGGAAAGTATGGAAATGGATTCGTTGGAGAATACAAATATTGGCGGGACGCCTCTTAGCACGATAAACACAAGCAGCCGTTGTTCTCATGATAGTGTCGACAGTGGTTATTTGACGTTGACTCCTCATTCCGGCACGTATACGTCAATCAATATTTCAGAATGCAGGTCCAGGGTGTCGTGTATTTCTTCGAAAAGGCATCACAGGTCCAGAATAGATCCTCTTCAATCGGAGAGGGCTCAGAGACATCGATCAAAATTAAATCACCTCTTAAACGGGTCCGAATCCGATTATTTGATGTCCGAGAATTCGGACAGGGATAGTTTTCTCGGAGATCAGTCGAATTTAAGCAATAATCATGACAGTTTGTCTATGAAACACTCGAGTGCCGAGTTAATGAATGAAAGCACAGGCTACCGAGAATTCGATAAGAATTTGCGAGGCAGGACACGTCGAACTTGGAGAACGACGGTCCCCATAACACCGGCTTCGACGAGATTGCAACTTCTTTCACCGCCACCGTCACCAGCGGTTCCTTCTTCTTCGTTCATAGCCTCTGAACCAATCGAAGAGGATGTGGAAATGAAGCTAGTCATGGTGTCACAAAGCACACCCCAAATAACCCTCTCGCCTAGACACAAGACACCACCACCTCCTATCCCGCGTAATATTACCTCATCAACATGTAGAAAACCTGGTCCTGCTGTTAGTTCTGCAGAGAATCATAAGTTAAGCCAGTTGTCTATCACAGATCTTGCTGCAATTGCTGAGATCAAGCCAAAGAGGTTGGATTTCAGTCATAGTGCTATATCTTCTCGATTGTATCGTACTAGAGCTACCCCAGATTACACTGGTAGAGAGACCGTGGACATGCTAGTACTCCTAGGTGACAAGACTAACCACTGTAGAATAGTATCTAAGATATTGTCCTACCTTAGTCCTCAGGATCTATGTTCAGTCAGCATAGTATCTAAAACTTGGAGGAGGATCTGCATCAGTGATTCTAAGGCCAACAAAAGGAGATGGGCCCATATAATGCTCAAACAGAATGCTAAAGAAAATTATAAATTAATCAAGAAGTCCAAGGTAGAAGGAGATATACAGTCCAGTCCTAAAAGCAGATATGCTAGAAAGGGTTGTCTGTTACAAGTGCAGAATCTTCTACGATTACCAAACGATCAACATTCACCTAGGAGCCCGCCTGTTTCTCCTAGCAAAGTGAAGTTTCACTCCTTCGTCAAGGTAAGGAGAACTATCGTATATACATTCATGTACAATAACTTAAAAATTTATAATAACATTATATAATAAATAATATAGTAAAAAATGCATTTAAATTATATAATATAATTATATTCCATAATAAGACTAGAAGAAAATGGAAAGAGTTTTCAATTGTTAAGAATAATTTCATTGACCTCTTTATTTGCTGACTAAATATCAAAAAGGAGAATGTAGTGAGCGTAATTCTAACTGTTACAGTGTCTGATTTAAACCGTGTACAAAGATTCTTGCAGGAGATAATATTCGATACTAGTAAAGAACGTGACGTATATTGCACACCGTTGCGAACCGTATTCTGCCACTATCGCGCACCACCGACATACTTATTCTCAGATGGCAGTTTCTAGCCAGAAACATCGAAGAAACCTCTATAATTACAATTTTATCATTATACATTTTTTCTTACGACAATATTTCTCAGCTTCTTAAAAAATATATATACATATATATATATATAGTTTTCAGACAAAAATTTGTTTAACGGCGAAACATTACTATTCATCCTGCATATGTTTATTTATATTAGTATTCACCAATTGATTGGTCTAGAAAAATTGACTTAATTTTCGAATTTATTTAAAAACAATTTGTTTAAATTTTTTTTCAAAAATGCTACAAACATGTCATTAGTATTTACTAATGAATTCACACGAAATTTTTATAAAACAACATTTGCTTAATATTATTTAAGAAAATAGAAAAATTAGGCGCGATGCATGCGTTCTGTCGTAAACGCGGCTCTGGTTTGTGATATTTATCATGTTCACATTGTAATAACGTATACAGTTGTATAAACTAAATAATTTGAAAACATTTTAGTATTGGAAAGATTAGCCAATATTTTAATAGTATTGTGGTAATATTCTGACTTTCAATTGAAAATTTTACTTTTTCGGTACTGCGAACGATTATAATTGTTCGCCATATGTTGACTTCAATATACTCTACGTGACTTTGTACCGTTTTGTAACGTTCAAATTTTGCCTCATCATAAAAACAAATTAAAAACGTAAAGATACGTGAAGTAATAGCAAAATTACTGTATTACAAAGACGTAGTTGTATATAAAATATAAAGTCTCGGGTTAAAAATCATTGATATTTTCGCTTCATCTACAAAACTTTTATTGTTTTGAAAAATTTATAAAGAATTTTGAGAAATTTATGTACAGATTTATAATTTATTATTCTTTAATTAATTTCTAAGTAACGCAGTTTTACAGTTTCTTTTTTAACACACGAAGTAGTATTGAGATCCAATTTGTAATTCGCATCATACATTTCCTATCACATTCAAACTGATCATAAAACTAGAGTTTCAATTGCCTGCAAGGAATTATAAAGCAACCATTCTCTAGCGATCGCAGACTTACGTTTCAGTATTTTCATGATAATCGAATGTATTACAAATACTCAATTTTCACAAATTTAACTATTATACATTTTGTTTGGAATCAGCTTTAATCTTCTTTTAAGATATTCAGATGCATTTGCATATTCTTATTCACTTCAATAATTGCATCCCTAAATCATAACTGACCCATTATTTATTTTCTTAACTGTTAATATAACAGTTTTTGTATTTAATTCAGTATTTTTCTATGTGAACTATGATAGCCAAGTGTATTTTACTTAGCAAAACACATTTGTCTACTTCTTTTTCCATCTTGCTTTCCGCACTACTTTGAAATGCAATTTATCTCTATTAATCGTTTTTCTTCAAGTTCTCCGAATATTTTCTATCTGAACTATTTTATTCAATATTTCATACAATCCGCAGAAATTTTCGGATTTCTACTTGGATCCTACTTTACACTTTATTCCCATTATTTTGGTTTTATTTCTATGTAGTTGTAAGCACAGTTTTCGTTTTCATTTTCATTAAGAATATGTTACATTGTAACACGACTTAAATTTCTTATCGATACTTGGACTGAAATATTCTCCGTGTACATACTAAACTCAGATGGGATACTAAATTCTGGCATTTGAAGCTTGTTGAAGGATGCGCATTTCAAAATATAAACATTCTACACGATTTGCGGTGCTATGAATGTAGGCTGTATCTTGTGTTCCGATAATCGGTCCCTACGGATAATTCAAATGTGTATAATTGATGTTTCTGTTCAGCGACGTTCGAGCAGTGAACATTTACGTTAGATTTCGACTGATTAGAAACTCTCATTATGATCTCGAATTATGTTTAAATGCATGTGTGAACTATGATATGGTTACATTGTTGTGAAATTAGCTATTTGAACCAAACATTTCATGATTAAAAATTTGTACTTATCGTTTCTCATCTGTAGAATCAATTTCAACCACTCGAAATAATTCATTCAGGTCTAAATCTTGATATTAGATTGCTTCGGTTCAAATAATCGTTACGTCGAATAAAATTTGAAATTATTGTAAAATCATTCTTTAAGTTAGTTTTTTTTCATATCGGGATTAACAATTTACAATATAATTTATATTCGAAATAATTGATCAGCTGTTATATTTATTTATAATAGGTACACAGATCTTATTTACAATTACCCTTATAGTAAATTTTACATTAGATTCTTATATATAGATAGAATACATTTTGTTGATATTGTATAAATATTTCTTACATTTGTACATTTTAGAAACATTGTTTCTCCACGTGTTGGATAATTGAGAATGCTGTACAGTCGAATTATTTGAAACCAGATAATAACTGAATGATGAAACGCAACTAATTACCTTGTGGTTTGCGGTCCGCCAAGTACAATCATTTGCGTGTTGGGAATATCACAGTTAATATTCCCCACGGTTACAAGAGAAGACACAATTATAATTCGCGTATAGTTTCTCTTTAATCGGTTAATAATGATTTACGCAAGCGAAATATTCAGTGTTTGATCTAGTCAAGTCTATCGAAACCTGTAATTAGGTTGCTGATTACTTTTTCTTCGAATGTCTGTGCTACCATCGCTGATTGTTTCTTTTGCAGACAAAAATTCGGGGAATAATTACGCGGTAGTAATCATCTACGACACGATCGCCCACGGTTTCTTTTAAGAGAGCAGCGCTTGTATACGCTAGTTCAAAAATTCGGTAGCCGTTGAATTGAATTTAAGAAGTAAATATATAAATGTTTTATTACGATTAAAGTAAAAAAGAAATTATATATAACATAACTAATTTAAAACTAAAGGAAATATCTATCATTATCAGATGCCTGTCTTTTTAAAGTTTATAATAAATAAATTTTTATTTTTTAATAGTTTTTTTAATCTTTATCTGTTTCTCCCATTGTATTTAAAAAAAAACTTGTTTTCCACTTAAACAAGAAGAAATAACAGAATGTAATAAAAATTCAGGGAAGTAAAACTTATTTTTAATAATGTAGTAAACAAGTTTTTTTATCAATTGGTTTTTACCTGCAGTAAATTTTTGTTACAAAGGGAAATTTGTTTGTATGGAGGAAAAGAGATTACGCATTAATTTTACTAAAAAAATATTTGTTTCCTTTCTGTACGGCAGTGTACGTTTAGTTAATGAATAATTTTTCTGGTTATTCAAGTAGGGAAAATAGTATTTAAATAAATTTTAAATAGAGGTAGAAAATTTGTTGTGTAGAGACATTGTAGTCTTCGATTAATCGCTATTATTTAATTGTGAAAATAATTATAAGAAGGGTTTGTACGAGCAACATTAATTTCATTTATAATTTTTCTGGTACCGCGTAATTGTTTATAACATTTTTAAAAAATTTCATTCTTACGTCCTTTAGTTTTAAAATTATTTAACGCATCAGTTTCTTCACTTTTTATCTTGAGGATGACTTTCAATTTAGAATTCTTGAAACACAGAAATGAAATAAATAAATTTCTTTGTCGAAACTAGGGCTACTCCCAAACTTTTGAACGGTAGTGTATGTCTTCCCAAAGTAATTTGCACAAGATTGAACTTCTCGAACTGGCCAAGATAATTGTTCTGTTCGTACGATTACCTTCTTGACGTTGATTTATCGTGATTTCCTTTTGAGAACGCCGCTACTAGTTCAGACGTTTTAGAATAATTTAAGTGTAATGAATTTCGAAAAGAATTTCGGCATAATCACCTTGTAGTCATAAGTTCCCTGTAATTTTATATTAAGAATTTTTTGTTGTAAAATATTCGCATCTTTTTTTACTCAAATATACTTTTCTAGTTTTTTTAAGAATAAAATTACTCTTACATGCAAAAAAAATTGCTTAATTTTAAAGCATTGAAATAATTGATCTTTGAACAAAAGCAGTTTGTATTAATTACTTTTTTACTTTAGGCTACAGTATTTAAAAGCAACGCTCTATTTCAGTTAGAAATTAATAAATTCTTTATATATTATATTTTTTACTCTCATTCTGAAAGGTGTTTTCCATATTGTAAACAATAAATATTAACTGTGATAAAAGAAATAAATTTGGAATATTTTTCGATGTGTTAAATTTAATTCTAAATTTCATTAAGCTAGGCAAATTTGAATTACATAATATCTTTTGGTAGATTTGTTAAAAATACAAAATATATAAAAATTACACAATTGAAGTTGAATAAAAGAATATTGAAAGGCACAAAAATATCTAACACATATACATTTATATTAATACTTAAACCAATTTGTGTTTACAATGAAATTTGAACTTATATACTGATCTTAATCTACTGCCAACATATTATGAACGGATGACGCGATATCCTGCGTTTCGGATGCAATTATAACACGTTAAATTTTCCAAGTAATACATATGTTAAAAATTCATATAATTTGAAAATATTTGATAATGACAATGAGTTAACATAATCAGCTTCCAATGAAAATTGAATTAACCCTTAACTACTATAATTTCTCTCTCGAGCCACTGGCGAATTATAAATCAATGTTAAACCATAAACAAAAACATAATTTCTGTGATTGTACATTATAATATATGTTTGAATAGTACC